CTTGTTACAACTTGTGCGTTTTTACGTGTGTAGCTCACGGGCCCCAATGAAAGTTAGGGCTTAGAACGGGTCAACGACGTGACGTATGCATGTAGTGTACATATGTATTGGTGTATTAATGAATAATATGACTGTACAACTTTACATCCAATTTTACACTTCATCACAATTACTACAAAGTTTCTTTCAAAACATTGCATTGAAAGTGTACTTGACACAGAGACGAATGGCTATCACTGTTTCAATTTTACAGAAAAACTTTCTTACGAAGTGTAGACCCTAAGTAACCAAAAAATGTCAAATTTTTACTTTGATCTATCATTCAAATTTTCCCAAAGCTCCGTGACGCATGACTTTTCAGGGGAGGTGCAAATATTCTCAGGGGCGGTGCAAAACGATCTCAAGGGAGGTGCGCACCTCCCCTCAAAATCCGGCTATGTTTCAGGGTCATTGTCAAACCAAACTAATATCACCACCATAATTTGTGTCTTGTTTTCTTTGAATAACTCATCTTGAGTTTACAAGATGGCATTACCAAATTCGAAGTATGTTATTTCTTACTTGTGAAGTTGACCATGCACCATCCGCTGCCCAGTAAACAAACAAAAACCCGCTAAGTTTTACTACCTGAAATCCTCCCTCTAGCCTCATTTGTCTTTGGCTTGTCCATTTCTATCAAAATTAAACTCTTGCTCAACAAATATAAAGACAATTTTTGCATGAACAATACATGTTCTCACCATCAGACGCAAAACTTACAAGTAATTTTTTTATATCAATTTTATCTTCTTCGCCCAATAGAACGAGGGCAGCGAAACCACAGAATGAGTATCCACCATGTGCTTCTACGCCTAGGAACAACCATTTTTGCAAGTTTCAGGACGGAAGAAAACGTTAAAGTTAAAGAATTTATACGTCCATATTTCATGAGAAGCGTGCGTTAAAAAAGGAAGCAAGATTGGGATGGTATGGACACATAATAAGAAGAGATAAAGAAGAGCTGGTCAGAGACATTATGGAATGAAGATGTCACAAGAAGATGTAGACATGCATCTTCCCTCTGATAAGGGAAGCAAGGCTGAGATGGTGTGGAGACATATTAAGAGATGAAGGGGAGTCACTCAGAGACGTTACGAAATGAACAGATCGGAACACGATGTGGACATTGCAGACAAGGTCAGGGAAGCAAGGCATCTTGAGATGGTGCGGGAAAGTAATAATAGATGAAGAAGAGTCACTCAGAGACGTCATGGAATGATGAGATGAGAGGAATATGCAAGTACATGTAAGGTTGAGATGGTATGGAGACGTATGAAGAAGAGATGAACGTGAGCCGGTCAAATACATTATGGAATGAAGAGATCGGAAGAAGATGTGTTGTGGTAGACATTACAGAGAAGGTGAGAGAAGTAGGGTTGAGATATTATGATACCATGCATAGACGCGTAATAAGAATAAATGAAGGAGAGCTGTATAGAATGAAGACATCAGAAGACGATGAAGGTCGACATTACGGAGAAGATGAGCGAAGCGCGAGTACCGAATTCGTTCCACAGGAAACTTGGAATTGCGTCCAACAAATTTGTCAAAAACGTCCGACGCATTGAAACATATCGCGAGTGCTTTGTCAAGTGAAACAATTTTTCACTAGTATTATTTATGAACAAGTTTCATCTCCCAATTCACTACCTGGTTCTCCTGAAAATCCTCCTTCGTATGTCTGACAACTACATGTTCAAGGAAAAAAGAGGTATGCTTGAAATCAAACTCACGATGCTCAATATTTACACATACGGTTGAATTTTACCTTTTAATCCATTCTCCCGTATTGTGAAATAATTCATGAATGTAGACATTCGTTATTCTGGCAGACACAACAGCACAATATGCACCTCTGGATATTAAGAAAGTCCCAGTGTTAGCCTATGCAAAGCCCGTAGTTACTTACATATAATAGAGCACTCCTAGTTCATTTTTATCCTAAGACTTAATTTTAACCCAGATATAATTACTAAGCATTTTCCACTGGTAGCAGTATGAGAAGTGAGAAACAGACTTTGCTCTACTCAGGATATATCTTGGAAACCCATGCACGTCGTATCTTTGCAGACAGAGTCACAGTATACCATTAAAACACACCATACCTTATATCAACTTCGCCATCATGGTGCATACGAAATGCTCCCTCGCTGGTGTGACAGCCCAGTAGAAACCTCAGAAGACCTTTTCTATACGGTATTACATATGTATTTAGTTTTAAATTAACATCTGTATGTTTGTGTATCTGTTTGACCGTCACCTTCCTTGTCTGTATGTTTGTCTGTCATCTGTCTGTGCCACATTTATGCTCTGTCTGATTGTCACTTTGTTCAAATCACTGGTTCAAATACAGCCACAAGCTGTCTATTTGTTTGGTTGTCTGTAGCAGGCATTTGTTAGCATGTGGTGGTGAGAACTGCTGCCCACATATAAATGCCTGCTATGCAGGCTAGGGTGCAGGGCCGCCGGGGGGAATTGCCCTGGGCCCCCAGGTTCTGAGGGCCCCTAGAAATTTTTTGTTGGGCCCCAGTCATTTTTTTGGCTAAAATATTTGTGCGCAAATGGGAAGATCTTTGTTTTTTTGGCAAAGTACCAAAATTTGGTATGAAAAAGTTGCTGGAAAGCAATACAATGTACTTGTCCGGAAAAATTTCCGGAAAAAAATTTTGAAATAGGGGCAGCCCTGCCAGGGTGTCTTCTATCTGTGTAGCAATTTTTTTATTACTCAATTCATTTCCATGTTTTGTCTAGTTTATTCTTTCTTATACATTATATACTGTACCTGTCTATAGCATCATAAGCTTGTGGATAATAAACACCAGCTATGGCAATTGCACAAACTGCTGCGTATGTTGGTGCTAAGTGAGGTAATTGCCCTGGTCCACCTAAAACACACATGCAGAACATAACTACAGTATATAACAGAACGTGGACCATGTAGGTAGTATACAATAAACTGCCATACTACTTGAAAAATATATTTCAAATGTGGGGTCAAGTGTAGGTAGCATTCAAAAGGTTAATGCCATGGTTTGTGTCTGAACTAGGTTTGAAGAAAATATCTCAAATTTGGGAGTCCAATGTTGTAGGTAGCATTCAATAAGTTGCCATTAAGCTATATATCTCAAAAAGATTAAAATATGTCATAGTTTTGAGTGAAGCTGCCCTTCGTCAGGACATTAGTGCTGCTACTAATTATTCATGCAATCAATGCAAAACAACAGAATATATTAGGTACAATTGTTTATGTTTACTACACTGGCCAAACCAAATTTAACCCACTGAGCAGCAGCGCTCTCCCTTGATGAATAAAATAGTCTGGCATTAGACAGAGTAAAATAACAAAGTAGGGTCATTATATGGTCGTGCAATGTAACTCATTGAGTTAAAGTAAACAATTGTTTGATCAGGAATTGATACTCACCTCCAAAACCTCCCAGTGGACTTTGGCATTTTATTAGAAATTCTGTTACTCTAATAATAGACAAAATTTCAGCATCATTTTATCATGTGTAACTGACTGAATATATTCAATCAGTTGCACATGATAAATTTCTCATGTAAAGTGTCTGATGTCATCATAAAATGATGCTGAATATTTCTATTGCAGATAAAATTGTAAATTACTGTTTAGCTGTCTCTTTTGTAACTGGTCGATCTAATAATTCCAAGGAGTGGAGAATCCAGTAACAAAGCCATGGTCTACTTGCATCAAGACACTGATAATAAAGGTGAGAAATTTGTTTTTACTAATTAGGTACACAAGAGAATAGACAATGTTTTTATTTGTGATTGTTCATCCTAAGATAGTAAGATGCAACCAACTGTAAAGATAGAAATGTACCTCGTATGAAGCAGATAAATTGCTCAACCCTCTTGAACAGTATTGAATATGCTTCTTCCTATTCAGTATCAGTCTATAATGATACCAAAAAATGATTTTTGACACTTCAGAAAGCAAGTTCTAGGGACAAGTTTGTGAAACAGGATGAAATCTATTTGTTGGTGGCCTGACTGGAAAGTTTGGAAATGCAACCAAGATTTCGAAAATTTAATAGCAAATATATAGAAAGCATCAAAATTGCGTGCCTGATATCTTGGTTGCGCAATACAAACTTTCCGCAATGGGCCGATGGTCCCTTGCCAAAGTGCTCAAAAGACTCTAGTTGTACATTTAAAGAAATTTTTTTACTACAAATTAAACTTATGATTTTATAACTCTGACTCCAACCAATAAACCAGTTAAAAATATTTCGAAAAAGGCTAAGTTAAAGTGGTTGGATGGGGATTCGAACTCTCGACATCTAAAGCAGCAGGCGCTTTACAGTCAACTCGGCCCACTAATCAACTCGGCCCACCATTCAAGGACCAACTCCGCCCGCTCGTAAACTGACTAATCTAACCACTAAGCAAGCTTCGAGCCAAGACTGCATTCTATCTTTGCAAATTTTGAGAGAGATGTGAATGATCAATAATTTAGCATCAAAATGAACAGATCGAGAATTTGAAACTTCAATAGATTCTTTAATTAAATTAAGTCAAACTGGATGTTCTCAAACTTTACTCATCTGTACGCCCAATGCAACTGCAAATGGCTGTATTGGTTTGGTGCCATCTTTTGTAAAATACTAGCTTTCCTAATATGTCAAACAGTAGTTAACAATTGGGCCAAGATGGTATGTGCTGATTTTGGTCAGTGGGCCGAGTTGACCAGCTTCCGCAGCAGGCATACACCCTAACCTGGTTTATATGCTAATCACTATAAAGCCACGAGGAAGCTCGCTGAAAGTTTCCACAAAAAGTTTATTTGATAAGAATGTCAGGTTTATAAATAAACTAGCCGGGACATACATGATTATTTCGAATCATTAATATAAAAATGCAAAAATCTATGATATACTAACTCTGAAATACTTTCTGACATTTCTGACAACGATTCATAATTTTTAATGATAGAATCTTCCACCTTTTTCTAGAATGAAACGAATTACAAATTTTTCTCGCAGAATATTCAATTATTTATCGATCACAAGTTGACAACCGAGAAATATTAAAGTGATAAAAGTATAGAAAATGAAAGCGAAAATATTCATGCGATTTCAAGCAATAAAACAGCAACCTGTTCTGCAGTTGTGTGTGTAGGATATCCATCATCTTTAACTCCCAAATCTTTAAAAGATTTTGCACTGTGAAATGCCATTATTTACAAAATTATTTGTTTTGATTTTTTTCTAATCTTTCTAAATTATGCCGCCATATTCCGATTGCCTGCGAACAGGCTTGTCTGGGATCAACTTCGGTATCAGTCGTGAATTACTCGGGCGGGCGCACAAAAGTATTCATAAATATATTTTATTTTCTGGGTTTTTTATTCCTTTTATTTTAATTTTTAGCAAATAAATCTTTTGAAATTCATAATTCCAAAAGCGTTTAATTTCGCGTATTTATTTTTATTGCTTCCTATTTTAACAATCTGGATTTTTGTATTTTTCGATCGATCCCGAAGTTGCTCCGACGTTTATCCGATAACGTGATATGCTGTTGTTATGGTGACAAAGCTTCCAGTTTTAATGGTCATTTCTACATAGAATTTAGAAGTTATATTTTTTAAATTTTGACGAGTCATTGCTGTGTATTTTGTGAATATAGTTAAAGAAACGTCTGAGGCTTGTTTGGTTTTGGTATTATTAGTAAAATATGATGATTTTGGGGGCTTTTTGCGGAATTATTTGACAGTTCACGAGTGAAATTGAGGTGTGAAATTGTCTGTCAGTGTTGTCGTGTTGGTACAGTAAGTGTTTGTTATTATTTTGGTTGTGTTTGTGGTGTAGTTGAATGTCTAATTTAGGTTTGTTGTACCTGTAGAATTATTTTTGTACTAAAAACAGCTTTAGCATATGAAATACACTAACCTATCAGGCTATCACAGTACATTGAGTACAATATTCAAATATGTGCTTGTATAAAGCTGTAACTAGTGTTGTACTACCACACACGTAAAAATCTCACAACTTGTCAACAAGATGTGTTCGCAACAGGCTTGGCCAAAACTTGCCAACAAAGTTGTAACAATGCTGTTATTTTATCAAGTTGTTACAAGGTTGTCACTCACAACTTGTTGACAAATTGTTGAATTGCAGGACGATAACAAGTTGTTGGAACAAGTCTGTTGAGCTCAACAACCTTGTAGCAAGTTGTCAACAAACCGTTGACAACTTTTCAACAATATGGGAACAAGCAGTGCGAACACATCCTGTTGGGATATGGACAATCTAAGCAATGTGAAAAGCGACTTTTCAAAGTTGTAACTATAATGCTTCCACTTGCATTTTGCAAACTCTCTGATTTGGTGGAGATTTGGTCCCCAAAACTGGCCGATAAACCGAGCATGAGAAAGGCAAATTCCGTATACTGTCATGTATCGTAATTAATGAATTAATCTATTTTTAACTAGATAATGACATCAGTGTCACAAAAGACCGTTCAAAACTACGGCATTGAAGTGAATGAAAGAATTCAGTGGCAGGGATGGGAGCCTGGGGGAGAATATACAAAACAAATAACATTGAAAAATGTCCAAGTCAAGACACAGAAAATTATTTACAAGTAAGTTACAACACTATTAAACTTGTAGCAAGTTATTACATTAAGTAAGAAACTTATAAATATATAATAAATATAGGCCCCATGTATACTACAGAGCGTGATAAATGCTGGAACAAATAATATTCATCCCTCTTCCCTTCATTTTCTCTTTTAACCTCTCATATTACATCTTGTTTCTCCTCCCCCTTCCTCCAACTTCCTCCCCATACTCTTCCTTTCCTTTTCCCTACCATTCCTTTTGCTTACCCTTCCTTTTGCTTACCCTTCCTTTCCCCCACCCTTCCTTTCCCCCACCTTTCCTTTCCCCCAC